TCTCTCTCTCTCTCTCTCTCTCTCTCTCTCTCTCTCTCTCTCTCTCTATCATCTATCTATCTATCTATCTATCTATCTATCTATCTATCTATCATCTATCTATCTATCTATCTATCTATCTATCTATCTATCTAATCTTGCTCCCTATCTCTCTCCATCTCTCACTTTCTATATCTCTCTATTTCTCTTTCTCTCTCTTACTCTCTCGTTATATAATAGGAATTTATGGTGGTCTTTCCACTAGGCTGCCTTCCTAGATGTCTTGGATTATTGCAGTTACTCAAATGCCAAGTTATCCCCCCTCCAACCATAAAATTGGGAAAATGTATAATATTGCACTGAGCAGAGAGAAAAAAATTCTATCTATCTATCTATCTATCTATCTATCTATCTGTCTATCTATCTATCTATCATCTATTTAAAAAGGTATCCTTGGGTACTTCTGTATTGCAGCTACCAGTGGGTAACTATGGTGGGATGATTGGAATAATGATTTGTGCTGCCTACATAATTTGAAATACACTCCCTCCCCTTACAAATCTTGACAGGATTAATTATTTTATAATTAAAAGATCAGGGTTCCACCTCCCGCAGGCTTTTTCTTCTGTTTAAACCAATAGTCTTGTTCCTACAGCCTAGTAAACCAACTCATGGGATGGGAGAGGAGAGGGTTGTTTTAAGGAAACCTATTTAAAAAGAGCTTATTGGCTTAGCCAGCTAATGGTTTTTATATCCCAAAGCAGAGTGAGGTTAAGCTAATGTAGCCCCATCAATCTTGTAGGGAGATATAGGTCTTGACAATAGATGCATTTTTACACACTTAGTTTTCCAAGGCAGAGGGGTGCATGTACCTTGGAGAGGGTTGCCAGCGGTTTTTCTTTAAAAAACAACAACACCCAGTTTGCACTGAAAGCCAGATTCTGTACAAACACAGGTAACAAAAAAACACAGTATATTTCAACCCTATTCCTAGGGTTGCCAGTGGCATTCCTAAAATGAGATTTTGTACTAGGATAAATAGGCTACGTAGCCTTGCTTTCATGATTTTTCAATAAACTCTTATGTTTTCCAGGTTTGACAGCTGAAAATATTTATAACTTGCTCAAAATAAATTGCAGTCCCTCTCTAAAGGCAACATTTGAAACTTTCCCAGGTAAGGGAAGCTTTTCTGCAGCAAACTACAATATTGCCTGGCACAGTGGGTGAACTTAAACTGTTGAGGACATAGAGGGAGTGAACTTTTCTGCTTTTGAACTTGCTGAAATGTCTCATAGTTCACTGTAAAAAGCAGGGATGAGGAATAATAAAGAAATCTGTTTGGATTACAATTTTTCTTGGTTTTTGAAGCCTGACATCAATCTTGCCAAACTAAAGCAAACTTATATAAAGCATATACTCTGAGAATTAGAATAGAATAGAATTGAATTCTTTATTGGCCAAGTGTGATTGGACACACAAGGAATTTGTCTTGGTGCATATGCTTTCAGTGTACATAAAATATACATTTATTATTACGGAGGAACCATTTTTATCCTCTTTTGCTCATGCAAACTATCTGAACTTAGTTGTCTCTTGTTCCTCTGGAATTCACCTCCTCCCTCCTGGGAATCTGGACTACCTTCATCAGAGGCCACTTAATAAATAAAACTACTAGCTTTTTCACTACAATGCAGACAATTGTATCTGCAGCATACAATACAAAACATTTTTTAAAAATCAAACACTGACAGAAAAATAACCAGCTAATTTTCTTGTGGATGATGGGGAGGAAAGAAAGCACAATTAATTACTGCATTTATCTGAAATAACACTTTGACTTTGCTACCACTAGAGTTTAAGTTTTTAGAGAAAGGATTGTTTTCATTTCTTGTATGTTATTTTAATTCTTAAGAGCTATTGCAATCATGACACTTCTTTTAATACGTTTTTCATGAAGAAAATGAAGCTCCTATTTTAATTTTCTAAAATTCACTGTAACATCTATATTACTTCTCCTTTCAGCATGTTCTCTTACTGGGATTCCATATGTGAAAGAATGGTATTTTGCAGTTCAGTCAATATGTGGATTTTCTCAGGTGAGTCACTGGAGACGTAATTACCCCAAACATTAGTTCCAGCTTTTTCAACCCTTACAATATATTCTTTTAACTGAATAGTTTTCTAGTACTGACTGGGAGGACATCAGTATTAATGAAGAGACAGATCAAAGCAAAACCTCTATTCAAAGAAATATTGAAGGATATCTTGGTGATCAGCATGTTGAGGAAGAAGACGACAATAGGGAATCTGTATCACTCATTGAGTAAGTTGATCCACTGTGTGTATAGGTTAATATGTTTGAAAATATATCTGAGAATACAGTTTCTGAACTTGGGAATGGTCTTTAAATGCATAGGGGACAGTAAATATTAGGAATATATTTATACTATATTAGGAATAGCAGTAAAATAGCTGATTTAGCAAGAAATTGTTGATTCTGATAAGTTCATTACCCAAAACTTAGATGGCAAGTTTTTCATTTGAAGTAAATCTTTTCTCTCTCTTTTTCTATACACACATACAGCGCTTCCTATTTTGATACTTGGATTGGGTAAAGCACTAAATGTTTTGAAGCATATTCTTGAGTGAGAATATTTTTTTTAAAAAAAAATCGTTCTTATATTTCAGTCTATATGAAGAATCTGCGGAGAGCATACATCTTTTAGCTGATAAACTTCCTACTCCTGGTAATGTGACCATTTTGGAAACAAACTATTTTTGTGACAAAATCATTTTGCTTCTCAAAATGCCTTTGAGGCAGTTAGTCTGTCTTCTGTTTGTAATAATGCTCTGGTAAATAGCTTGGCACACAAGGACACCTTACAGGCAATTATAAATTATATAAGCGAAAATCTGGAAGGATGCCCTTGCTAGGAGAAATTATTTAATAGCACACATTTTTTGCTTAAAATAATGTAAAACATACTCCATACCAAAAGCAACCATGTAACTAGCAATAAAGGAAAGGATTTTGTCTATGTGGGATCCTTAGTGCGTTCTGAGCTTGGTTGTTTTCTTGCACATGTTTCATTACCAAACTGAATAACATTATCAGTGCTCGATCCTTAGCACTGATGATGCTACCTAGTTTGGAAATGAAATGCCTGCAAGAATGCAACCAAGCTCAAGACTGTATCAGTGATCTCGCAGTTCAACCCCGAGCTACAAATATTCTCTTCTATTTTTTTTTTAAATTTGGTTTTTATGATGATTTTAGTCAGTTCAAGACAGTTTATATACCTAATGCTCTGTGGCTTGGACTGAAAGTGAGGGACTGGCCCAAAGCACCCAGCCAACTTCTGTGCTTAAGGGAGAAGTAGAACTCAGCATTCCAGTTGCTAGTGTAGCACCTGAACCCCTATGCCAAATTGGCTCTATGAATATTGGTTGTTGAATTATGGAGCTGCCCTTGTTTCTAATCAGAAAGCGCATGGACAGTGAAGAGCATACTTTGGTATATCCATCTTGAAACGCTGTTTGCAAACTGTACCGATTGCAAGTTGGCTTCTGGGTATGATTCAAGATGCTTCTTGTTAGCTATAAAGCCCTACATACATAAGGCTTAATTATTTTGAGGGAGCCCCTATCTCCCATAGCATCTGCCCAATCAATTCAATCTGATAAGAGTTAAAAAAATAGAAGTGTCCAATGTTCAGTTTCCTGCTCCTACAAAAAAGCAGACTGAAATGTCTGTCTTAATTTATGATATTTCCTTCTGCAGGAAAAGCCATGGTTGATGTTATTCTCCAGTCTTCAGAAACAGACGCCCCTCAATTAAAAGACTGTTTACCTGTCATTGGTGCTCTAAAACACCTAAGAGAATGGCATGCAGCAAAGATCACTATCATAGCAAACAAAAGCAACAGGTGAGTAGTGGTATTCAGATAAGATAATTGAGAAAGGGAGGGTTGCGAATGTCATTTTAGGAGTACAGGTAGTCTGCAACTTATGACCAGTTGCTTAGTGACTTCTCAAAGTTATGGTAGGCCTCAAGAAAGGTACTTGCATCCTGGATTCAAAGTCATGATAGCTGTCATACATTTTGGTGTACTAAGTTGTTGAGATTCACTGGATAACCTTGGACTAGTTATCCATCTCTTTGCCAGTCACCCAACCCAATTCACCTTGAGTGGAGAAGGGAGTTGCATGCTACCTTGAAGAAAAGTGAAATGCAAATCTTAACGGGGTAAAACTAGATAACATTTTGAATAAGATCTAAATATTTTACAAAATGATAAATGACATTCCATAGCTTTTTGTAACACTGTGGGATCATATTTAGTCTCCTAAAAATTATTCACTTTGAAAGTTACCAAGATTTTAGTGAAATATGCACTACTTACACATGTTTTCTTTTTACAGTGCTTGGCAAAAATTTGCAGAATATCTTTCTGCTGATATATTAGCTCTTGAAAACGTACAAGACAGTATTGATTCAAGGGAACTGTGGAGAGGAAAGATTCAAATCTGGGAACAAAAGGTATTGGGTTTGAAATTTTCTTGGAAGAATAGTACCATAATAGTACCATAAACTATGCACTGGATTTATGTATGGAAATATTTATCCACCTGTTATTTTCATTGAATGTGGTGTATTAGAAAACTTTGTGCTGCTATAGTCTCAGGCTTGGCTTCTAATTAAAGAAACATTTGCCAGGAGCTTCCTATCAAATGATCTTCGCTCATGGGACTATACTCTTGAGAGAAGCCACCTTTTGTCAAGAGTCTTCTCACTCTTGCAACCAGTTGGAAAACTTAAAAACTCCAGAAGTAAAGTTCATTTTCTCTCAGTAAAAAGGTTATTAAGATCGAAGAGGCTTAATAAATAACTGCATTAGTTAAGAACCTCCTTCATGAATGGAATAATTCTATAATATGAATTACTTGTTCTGTCCATACTTTGTTTTGATTTTGGTTTTTTTGTGTATGTGTATGGGAGGAGGCAGCACAGTTTGCAGATCTGAAAAAGCAATCCAGAGATTTTTATTCATTTGTTAAATTTATATGCCGTCCATCCTACTGTTGAGCTATTCTGTCAATTCCAACATGGATGAAAGGCTGGAAAGAAAGGGTGAAAGGAACAATAAAAAAATACAGTGGGCTTAGATTAGAATATTGTGCACAAAAGAGAAAGGAAATGGGTTTAGAAAGCATGTGTTCTATCTTACCTGTTTTGGGGGAATATCAGAATTATTGGAGTCAACGTACTTGAAAACCTACAGGAGAAACTGATTGTGCTAGCATTAAAAACATAGTTAACATTTTAAATAAGTATTTTTGGACCCATAAATACTGTGCTTTCAAATTCCACTGGCTGCATTATAATTTCTCATTTTATATAATAGCCATATTAAATAGCCATTTTATATAACAGAGATCTGGGTGTGTAATAGTTAAGAACTTTATAACTATTCTTTGCTTTTTTTCTCCAGTTTGGATCTGAAATCACATTTCCAGATTTTTGTATAAAAGGCCCTGCATCTGGAAGGCCATTCAGCCCCTTCTGCTTAAATACTTTCTCTGCTGCTGATGAAAATAAACAGTCAAAGAATACCAATATTCACTCTGCGAAGGTAATTGATGCGTTTGGTCTATCTGAATTGCAGTTTTTAGCATTTTAGAAATCAGATAAATCTAGGTTCAACAATGCCATAAAATAGAATATTACTTTTTTTTAAAAAAAACCTTGGAAACAATATTTACCCAGAAAAGTAAACATTTTAAAATCTAGCTTTTTTATGGTTTAGTAGGTAAAATGCATACGCCTAGAGGCATAGAAATTAAAAATCTATTTCATGGTGGTGTTAGTCTGTTTTGGAAATCTAGCTGCTTTGTTCTCCAAGAATAGCTTCAAGGAAAAAGAAGAAAATCTCAACTCAAAGTAAAATATATATTTTTTGCTTTCCCAAGTCTTTTGGAATAGGGTGGCATAATACATGCACATTTAGAACTTATGGAAAATTCTGTCTCAATATAGATGAAATAATTCTGCAATTTGGTTTGGTTTTTTTACCAGGCTATTCAGGGCAAAACACACATCAGATTTCAGTTTAAGAATTTGAACACATAGTAAGAGATAGGCTGTTTGATATGACCAAGGGAGCTTTTAAAATGGAAGAAAGGTGCTCAAAATTTTATTGTCAGGAATGTGGAATTTCTGGCTTGCTGGATTCAGATGACAGATGGTTCTGTCTGCCAGGAAAATTGAAGCTTTTTTTTTTTTAACTTTGTGCAGACGTAGCTGGCAGCAATAGGGCCCCTTCTCTGCAATTGCATCTTTGCCACTTCTGAGACCCAGGGCTGAGATCCTTTCACTCCTAAAGCCTCATCTTTGATAACCAGCCTGGCAAGCAGGGGTGGGATTCTACCAGTTCGTACCTATTCGCTAGAACCGGTTGTTAACATTCTAAGCAGTTCGGAGAACCAGTTGTTAGAAGAAATTACTGGCTTAATTCTGTAAGGAAGGCAGGAAGGAAACATTCTGGTGTTGCTTACAAAAACTGCCTCTCCGTTAACCCTTATTACATTCTTGGCAGGACTAGACTTCCTGTCTCAGGAACGTCTCTGGAGTTTTTTTCCTCTTCTTTGCTGGTAATTTGCTTGTGTGCAGTGACCATGCAGAGTTACAATGGCACTGAAAAAAGTGACTTATGACCCTTTTTCACACTTACAACTGTTGCAGCATCCCCACACTCACGAGAGGCCAGGCGAGGAGATGCGTTCCTCGATGTGAGTGATATTGAGTTGGCCACGCCCAGCCAATAACATGACCACCAAGCCACATCCACCCAGTCACATGACCACCAAGCCCACCACCTAAGCCACGCCCACAGAACCGGTTGTTAAAAATTTTGAATCCCATCCCTGCTGGCAAGGGTATAGAAAGAAAACAAATTTATCCCTTAATGTTTGTTTTTCATCATGTATTTATATACAGTAGATCATAGCCTTCTGCTGAACTTCCTTCTCAAGCAGGAGACTCTATATCAGTGGTAGCTAACCTTTTTGGGCTCCTGTGCCGATAATTGCGTGCGTGTCAGCACCCAGAAGGCAATGCACGCGGGTCCCCCACCATGCCCTCCGCGCATGGGTGTGTGACTCCCCTGCACACCGTGCGTCTCTGCGCATGCGCGAGTGGCCCCCCTGCGCGCCACGTGCCTGCGCATGCACAAGTGACCCCCCCTACACGCCGCGCATCTGCGCATGCACATACGTCTCCCTTGCACCTCAAACATGTGCACCAGATACCCGACAATCAGCTGTTGGACTGGCGGAACATGTACACATACACAGTAGACCTGGGCTGTGAGGGCTCGTGTGCCGGCTGTAATGGCTCTGTGTGCCACTTCCGGCACGCTTGCCATAGGGCTCTATATATTCAATGTCACTATAAATATACACAGGGATAGCTAAGGAAAATAGCTACGGTAGTTGCCCTAAAATTGTAGAATCTTAAACAGAATCAATAAGGAAAGTTAACAAAGAGAAAAGTTTAGAAAAGGAAAAAAAACTGTTGTTCAGGTCAATATTGCTACCTGCTCATAGAGTTTGCCTGCTAGGACAAATACGGAATCAACTCTTGTCCAATTAAACCCAGTCCACATTGTTTATTTTATCATCCTCAATTCTTGCTTCATCGTGGCAGACTTTATCACCTCTGTTGAATCTCTCAACTTTGAAATTTTTTTTGGGGGGGGGGTGCAAGGGGAAGGAAAAAAGAGAAAGCTCGTTCTTATTTTTTTTTCCCCCCAGAAACCAAAGTTTTGATAGTGTGTGCTGGAATACGCAATCCAAATTACCTTTTAATTTTGTTTCAGGTGTTCCATTATTACAGTCCTGCTTTAAAATTTGTACAGATGGTGCTGTTGACTCACCTGCCAGCATGTTTAATGTCGAACCTCCATTTTGAGCTGTATCCTTTTATAGCAGGTGTCATTTGGTTTGATTTAGGAGTATTTTACGGCCCCGGAGCCTGGGAATGAATGTCAGAAACAGGAAATCTTTAGAGCAAGTAAACTAAATACTCTCATAGATATGCACTGTCACGAATGACAGTTTTAATGAATGGTACAATTATTGCTAACATTGCTTTTAAGTTTTACAGAGGCAATCATTCATTCTATAAATGTGGAAGACATTTCCCCTGAATCCAGTGGGTTCATTCTTAAGATACATAGCACTGTACACTCCTGGGCCTTTGCAAAGTTGAATAGTAATATATGTAGAATAACAGTTGGAAGGGACCTTGGGGGTCTTCTAGTCCAACCCCTTGCTCAAGCAAGAGACCCTATACCATTTCAGACAAATGGGTGTCCAATCTCTTCTTAAAAACCTCCAGTGTTGGAGCACCCATAACTTCTGGAAACAAATCGTTCCACTGGTTAATTTTTCTAATTGTCAGGAAATTTCTCCTTAGTTCTAGGTTTGTTCCTTCCTTGATTAGTTTCCATATAATCTTGGAAAGATTACATGGAAAAAAATGTTTCTTATTGGTTCTGTTTGTTACATTCTCCAACACTCAGGAATATTCGGTCATCTAATCATCTCACCAGTAATTGATTGATTGATTGATTTAATTTATATTGCTGCCTATTCGCCCATGGCGACTCGAGGTGGCTTACACAATGTAAAACCATATTTAAAACAAACAAAGAAATAAAAACAAAAACAAAAAAACTAACAAAAAGAATCAAATAAATTAGTAAAGTACAATAGAACAAAATTTGGAGGTGGGAAACAAAAAAACCAACTCCCACCCCCCCACCCCAATGACAGCAGATCACACTAGCCACCTGATGGGCTCCATCCCTCTCTGGGTTCCCCAGGCCCGCTGGCAGAACCAGGTCTTCAGTGCCTTCCGGAAGAGTATTAGAGTATTAGAGAGGGGGCCATTCTAATCTCTGGGGAAATGATGTTCCAGAGAGAGGGAGCCACCACAGAGAAGGCCCTTCTTCTGGGTCCCACCAGGTGTATCTCCCTCAGGGGTGGGACCCGCAACATTCCTTGCCTCCTCGCTCTAATGGGTCAGGTGGATGTGACTGGCAAGAGACGTTTCCTTGGATAATAATGAAGGTTATTGGTCTGTGTTTGTATCCAGATCGCCCTTGACTTATAACAGTTTGCTTAGTGACCATTTGAAGTTACAACAGCATTGAGAAAAAGTAACTCATGACTATTTTTCATACTTTATGACGGTTGCAGTGTCCCTATGGTCACGTGATTTACATTCGGATGCTTGACAACAAACTCATTTGTGGCAGCCGCAGCATCCTGGGGTCATGTGTGATCCCCTTTTGCAACCTTCTGACAATCAAAGTCAAGGGGGAAGCCAGAGTCACTTAACAGCCTTGTTACTAACTTAACAGCTGCAGTGATTCGCTTAACAACTGTGGCAAGATGGGGCAAAACTCACTTAAAATATGTCTCGCTTAGCGGCAGTGAAATTTTGGGCTCGATTGTGGCCGTACGCGGAGGACTACCTTTATTGACTTTTGCACTTCGTAGCTGTGAGTGTGTGATTCCTAAACTTTGCCTAGGGCTTTGGCTAGAACTGATGCTGAGAAGAAGTCTCTCCTCTTGTGGGATCAGCTTTCTTCGCTACATGGAAAGGTAGATGGTGGCTTTTTATTAACATTAACTTTTAGCAGAATGAAAGTGAGTTAAAACTAATGCACCTGTATTCCTGAAAAGAAATCTTGTTTTTAAAGTCCAGAGAAACAAGATAATATTTGTACACGGCTTAGGAAAAAGTCCTCCCTGATTCATTGGGGTGAGATACATAGCAAAATTAGCCTTGGAAGATTCTGTTATTACAACCCACTTCAATAAAGTAGAGTTCTAGTCTTCCTGTGGAGTTACTTTCTTGATGTGGTCCCTCTAGTGGGGCTGACCTCATCTGATGCACAGTCAGCTTTAAAGGAGCCGGGTAAGTCTCTGTCTGTCTGTCCCAAAGGTGCTTTTTCAAAAGACAACTGGATGTTGTTTTTACTTGAAGACGTTTCGTTCCTCATCCTTCTCAAGCTTCTTCTGCTCTGACTGGATGGTGGGGAATGGAAGGATTTATATTCCTTGCAGTCATCTGGCCGTTAGCACGCTTTCTGAGAGACGTCAAGGCCACTTGGAGGTTTATCTGTGCCCTCAGGGTCACCTGAATAGTGCAAATGGGTATGGATGACTGAGAAACTCCATAGACCTGTCTGTCTGTCTGTCTGTATCTTATCTATATCCCAAAAGTCCTGTCAGGATTCCGGCAGTTACCCCCATTTAAATCATGAGTCTCGAGCCAAACTTCCAAAACTTCACAGGATTTATTGGGAATTAACATGTCCGGAACTGCCTGGGTGTAGCCGACACATCATTTATTGTCACTCTTGACCCTGGTTTTCCCTCCACCCCCTGGGTGTATCATAATTCATAATCTCCAATGGGACACATCCATAGCCCAGAGTCATCAATCATGCTCTCCAGTTAGAATTTTGCTTGGTATAAACTTCAGTCACCTAGTTACTATCTTTGAAAACATTTATGGAATGCACTTTTGGTTTGCAAGCTGCCGCACTGCTCCTCCCTCCCTTTCTAAAAAAACCATAGAAATATTTTATGAGTTGACAGGTGCTTTTTCAAGAGGCAACTGGACTTTCTGATTTTTCTTTGAAAATGTTTCGCTTCTCATCCAAGAAGCTTCTTTCAGCTCTGAATGGATGTTGGGGAATGGAAAACCCAGAAAGTCCAGTTGTCTCTTGAAAAAGCACCTTTGGGACATCCATGACCTGGATGACTGAAAATCTCCATAGACTGACTGACTGACGGACTGACTGTCCACTCCATCTATCTCTCCATCTCCATCCATCCATCCATCCATTTATTTCTTAACCATTCATCTGCCTCAGAGAGGGCTCTGCTTATGCATGAGACCTTTCGTATATCTCATTATCTGAGAAGATGCATTTATAATGGTCTATATATGTTTCATCTGCAGGTAGGAGCTTTATTCGTACTGCCTTGCAGTATAAGCAGTATGTTGAATCCTGTACCCAGCCAGCTAAGCTCAAAAAAATGGAAGGAATGCATAGCTGAGAAACACAAAGGTCTCAGCAGTAAGTAAAGTTGTATTCTTTCCACACTACGCTGCTTTCTCCGTGTTAGTAAATTGATAAAAAGATAAAGTAATGCTTGGTGGTTCAAAAAAACTGATTAAGAAAGACACTGACTGACCTCCACTGCCTTCTGGTATGGTCAGCAGAGAAATTGGAAAGTTTGGGTCTCTGCTTTCTCTCAGGTTGGAAAAAAGTGATGCTAACTGTAAGTAAGCTTTTTTTAAAAAAAAACCAAAACCTATATATAGCTTGAACTTTAGAAAACATATTACTGAAATCAGGAATCCTGGCTACTTGAAATCTAGCAGGCATGCTGATTTAATCTAGGTTTTTTTGGTATGTGTTTATGAACAGAACACTTTTCATTTTTGTGAACATCAAGATGTATTTCTCTTTAGTTCCAGAAGTTGAACTTAAAGGAGAAACTTGCAATTATTATTTCTTGGTGCAAGGCAATGGCTATGGAGGATGTAAAGCAACAGTAATCTATTCAGCCAATCAGATCAATGGTTCTGTCCCTCTTGCAGAAAGTATAAGAAAGCTGACAACAGCAGGAGAAGAAACAGAAGCAGGTATACCTTTTGTGATTGAACCAAGAGGCACAAATGTGTAATTTTCATTCCAGTAGGGTAAAGTTGTAAGTAGAATAAATCCTTTTTTTTTTTTGTAAATAGTAATTATTTGAAACGAGCCTCAGGAAACTAATCAGATCTGTGAATTAAACACATTGATCATGAATAGCCATATCTATTATCTTCTTTAATCAAATTATCAAAACAGAAGTACAACCTTGTTATCAGAGTTTTATTTGATATTAAGAAAGATCTTCAATTCACTATTGACTGGACTGGTCGGACACAGGTTAGACTTGTTCTTTCACCTTGTTCTCTAAGAATGTAAGACTCCACTTGAAGTCTTCACTAAGGCTTGGAGAGAATTTTTTTTCCCTGGATCACCTCTCCACTTTTAGTTTATTTACAACTTGTATAGAGAAAACACACTTGTCTCCTTCCTTTGAAAATATAAGACTATATGTCCATCTAGCTTGATATTATTGATGTTTATTAGCATTGGCTGGTCAAAGATTTTTCCCAGCTCTGTGCACATGCAAAATATGTGCTATACCAGTGAATTATGGCTATTATAATTGTCAAAATTGCCTTTTAAAGCCACATGATTTATCTGTTACTATTACAGATACTTTTCAGTTAACGAATCCAGTTTCCATGCAGGGGATAATACAGAGAGTCCTTGACCTTAATTGAGCCGGGCTACTATGGTTGTAAGTCATTAAGCAAAGCCATTTTGCCAGAAACCAGAAGGAAATGCTGGTTTCCAGGAAAACCGACTTAAATCATGTGATTGTGGGATGCTACAAACATCTGTAATTGCAGACCATTGGATGAGTGCCCAAAATGCAGTCATGCGACTGAGGGGAGGGTACAGCCCGATGTCAGAACATTGAAACAAGATCATAAGTAGCCCCAAAGGTGCTTTTTCAAGAGGCAACTGGACTTTCTGGTTTTTCTTTGAAGACCTTTCACTTCTCATTCTAGAAGCTGAAGAAGCCTCTTGGATGAGAAGTGAAATGTCTTCAGAGAAAAACCAGAAAGTCCAGTTGCCTCTTGAAAAAGCACCTTTGGGACAACCATGACCTGGATGACTGGGAATCTCCACAGACAAAGTCATAAGTAGCTTTTGAGTCTGTCATAACTGCTGCTAAGTGACCAGTTGTAAGTTAAGGGCTACCTATGTCATTCTTCTCAAGAAAATGTATGAGGTACTTTCTGCAGCGTCACCCAATGACGCTCTATGAGTAGAGGTTGCCTTGAATCTGATGTCCTTGATCATAGTCCAGTATTTACTCTCTCAAGTCATTTATTTGGCTAAATTTTAGCATTTGATGTAATTTGATCACTTCATTTTTTTTTTTAAAAAAATCACTCCTTCTCTATCAACACAGGTTTCTTTGAAAAGTTTCTCCAAGGTTTCCCACATTTTTACGGAGAACAGATTTTACAAAGAGAGAAGAAACTGGCTCAGTTCCAAACACTGGTTTTGAATCACTGCTTGAGTAAGTAACTGAATATTTACTCACAGAATAATGGATAGAAAATACATCAATAAAAATATATCGGTCGGTGTATCTTAATTTATAGAGGGTACTATCTGAAAATAAAAAAGGGCTTTCTTATTTTAGGGGCCATGACAATCCCAGTCGTTTCACTTTGAGAATTCCTTATGGAGTGATGGAGCCTTCCATTTTGCAATCTAATGTTTGCTTGGCAAACTTCTAAACTCATTCAGTAAATCTGGAAAACTGTTTGGAAAAAAAAGAGTATACCTTGAAAAACTGTTTTATAAATGCCTGCTCGAATGACATGTGTTTATGTACGCGTAGCAAATTGCAGAAGCATTTCTCCACGAGCTAATAAAGGGATTACGTTTTTATTGCCTTATTTTTTTACTTGATAACAGCATGATGCAATCATTCAATTCAGCGAATTAGCATTATTATACATCCTGGGTTATTAACATCCTATCCGTGACCCCTATATTTCCTGTTTTCTGTTTTACAGAGAGACAAACGTTTGCTGGGCACCCACCTGTAGCTTTAAAGAATGAACTGCAATATCTATTAGCCTTCACCAGGGAACGTTTTTTTGACTTATGGAAGGTTAGCCATCCAAGTACTGTTTATCCAGGAGCAACGATTAAAACTAGAGATGAAGAAGCAATTGATGGTAAGCATCATTTTGTTAAAAAAAAGTCTGTGGAGATTCTCCGTTCACCCAGGTCAGGGTTGTCCCAAAGGTGCTTTTTCAAGAGGCAACTGGACTTTCTGGTTTTTCTTTGAAAACGTTTCGCTTCTCATCCATCTTCAGCTCTGAACTGAAGAAGCTTCTTGGATGAGAAGCGAAACGTTTTCAAAGAAAAACCAGAAAGTCCAGTTGCCTCTTGAAAAAGCACCTTTGGGACAATCATTTTGTTACTTAATTAGACTAATTAGGATAAATACATTGCCTATAAGTTAGACTGTTGTAATAAATGAGCATTCATAATGCAGAATGTCACATAGAGAAATGGGAGGTGTTAGAACTTTGGGGTCGATTAATGGAGGACTTGGGATGACAACTTTTTGGTAGCAGGTAATACGGGCAAGGTATTAGTGGATAAGATCACCGGTACAAGTAGTTTTCGACTTACAACAGTTCCTTTAGTGACCATTCAAAGTTACAATGGCACTGAAAAAAATGACTTACAACCGTTTTTCACAGTGACGAACTTTGCAGCACCTCCATGATCATGTGATCAAAATTCAGATGTTTGGCAGCTGCTTCATATTTATGAGCCACGATGGCGCAGTGGTTAGAGTGCAGTACTGCAGGCTACTTCTGCTGACTGCTGGCTGCCTGCAATTTGGTAGTTCAATTCTCACTGGCTCAAGGTTGACTCAGCCTTCCATCCTTCTGAGGTGGGTAAAATGAGGACCCAGATTGTTGGGGG